TGCTACACATCAGTGTTCCGGGTGTCAGTTTGCTGAATAGGATCTGGCCTTAGTTTTAATATCATTGAATTTCTCTCCTTGGAAGTAATTCTTGGTCACTGAAGAGGACATTCTTTAAGGAAGATAGCATTCCTTTTAGTGTGGAGCTGTAGGTTTTCTTTGTCCTTTTAAAATACTTCGCAGGGCCCTACTGTACACAAGGGTTCTCTTTCCAATGTAGAAGGGGTAATGGAAAAGTGTGTTGTCTTTTGCTGTAAATGGAAGAGACTAGTCCCAAACCAAGGGGATTTTTAAGCCCTTTTCATCACCCAATTGAGTATTTTTGCTTATAGCAAATTGTGTGTTTTGCTGCACCTGCTGGTAAGGAGAGTTGAACAGGAAGGTGCCCACAGGTGAGATCCGGGTGCTGTCATGCAGCACTGCTAAGTAGGTCTCAGAAAACTTGAAAGCAGCTGGATATTGTGGTAACTGCTGCCATGTGGCATCAAGAAAAGCAAGAAATAAGGAAGACTTTCTCCAATCTCTTTAAATGGTGGCATCTGTCTGGAACTGATATACTGCCATGACCCACTCCTTCTGTATCAGACTCTGAAATCTAGTCATTCTCGTGAAATAATGATCCAGCATCACTTGAATGAGAGAAGCTATGAAACAGCTCAAATCTCTTGCCTCCTCCTCTTCTAGGTCCACACAGAGAAGTTTGCTTTCTAACATGGACACAAGTTCTGCTGACTGTTTAAGGAACGTTCTTGCATATTCTAACCGAGTATTTTCCAGTGAAGACAACCATTTCTCTTCAGTTTCTTCACAAGGCTCATGAATGCATAGTTGCTTACGTTTTACAAATGCCATCTGCATTTCTTGAATATTAAGAATACAAATCTGATTTGTAAAGATGAGTTGTTCGTGGGTGACTTTTAGTTGTTGCATTACAAATCCTCTGGCTGATTTTCCTCTTCTACAGCACGTCTTTGATGAGGGACATTAGCACAAGAGCACTGCCCTTTGAGTGGCACCCGGACCGAGTGGCATTGTTCTGCCATCAGGAATGGGAAAAGACATTCAGATCTTGGTCTGCTAAAGAACTTGGCACCACAGAGTATTCTAGAAGGCAAGTGCGTATCATGTACCTTGTTAACAGAACAAACTTGCCGTCCTGAAGCACATGTCATCTTAATTTTCTGTCCCAGTCTGAGTGAGTTTCAAACAGTGGAGGTTTTTGGCTCTTGCCACCAATAGCTCCACTACCTCCTCCTCCTCCATCTCCTGAGAGAATTTCATTAATTTTTTTGGCTGAATTGTGGTATTTTTTCCCCCAACATATTCAAATGCAAAGAATAGATGGAGGTCTGTTGGCTGGAAAGCATGAGCTAGGCATTCCTTTTTGACACTTTCAGGACCCGATTCATCAAATTCTGAAATCTGTGCTAGAATAATAACCCTGCTGGGCTAAATCTCGGTTTCTCATTGAGGCCTAGGACTTTCTGCTTCCTGTTGTCATTCACTGTGAAAATGTACTCAATACACATTAAAGGGACAACATGTTTACCAAGGAGAAGGTTTCTGTACTGAAATTTGGGTAATGACATTGGGTCATCTGTAATAAAGGAAATTTGGAAGTTTCTCTATATCTGGCTTCCCCACGAATCCTGCTGACTTCTGTGTGTGGTAACGCATTTTCTCACAAAATGATTTCATTTACGACAATTTCTCCTGACAAAAGAAATGACTCCAGTTTTTTTTTTTTTTTTAATTTTGATTCCAAATTGATCTAATCCTCAGACTGGGACAGTGGCAGAAGGTAGGTAGGACCTGAAGATGGTTCTGCGCAGCTTGAGGGAGAATATGGTGGTGCTGCCTTTTTGCCCTGGGCCCTGTCGTGGGCCAGCTGCAAGCTGACACCTCCAGATTCCTCTGGACATAGAGCTCCCTGCAGGGGGCTGACAGGCAGACACAGGGAAGAACGCCTGCATGGTGCTACCAGAGCCGGCACGGAGCTACCAACAGAGGCTCCAGGGCCCATCCCCCTGGTATTTACATGTTCCAGACGCCATGTGTTAATTCGTTTTACCCTCATATTGATCCTATAATGTAAGCACTATTTATTATGCTTATTCAGTATATGAAAGTATTATAAACTGGGCCATTTGTTTGTATGACTGTGAATAAACTATAAAAAGATAAGATAATTTTGACACCATATCTTAAGAACATCAGTAAGACATACTGTTGCTAACCTACTTTAAAGACTTGAAAGAAAAAGAAAACAAACAAAAAAATATGTAGTGGGCACCTGCTATATGACAGACATAGTGCTCCTGCTTTAAATTAGTGCTGCATGTAACCTTCACCCAAATCCTCTAGGGTAAGTACATTCAGCTACATTTGACAGATGGGAAAGGTAAGATATATAGACTTCAATCCTAGGTGTATATGTATTTATGTACTTAAAGAACAATCGGGTGGTTGATCATTAAAAATATGTTAAACGTTTATTCCTCAAGGGTGTCTTTGAAAAGTGGATTATGAGTGTCATGAAGTGTATAGGTTGATGAATTTTTTCATCTTCCTCACCTAAATTTTTTACCTATAATTTTTTACTTTGACATTTTAAAATCATGTTTGCTATGTACTGATTTATCTTAATTTTATTTGTTAAGTTTTTTAGCAAGGGACATAGAAGTAAAGTAAAAGAGGCATGAGGTAACACAAAGATGTTAGAAATTCATATGTAATTGAGGAGAGAAAATAATGATTATTTAAAAAGACTACTCCAAATTGTTCCAAGAGGGATGACATATATTTGTATATAGCTAATGCTTAAGATGTTGTCTTTGAACTAACTTCATTAACTCAACCATTGGTGAGAGTGTTATGAGTGTCATGATGTCAAGTTATAATTCATAAAATATTTTTAAGGTGCAGAAGTAAATGGTTGATTTTGTTTCATATAAAAGTGTGCACTAGAATAAATAAAAATATCTCTTTTTTATTAAATTAACCTCAATATCAGCTACTAAGTTTAAAATAATGTTGAAAAGAATAAGCTATAGGGAATTCATATTATCATGTATTTACGTCTTTGTACCACTTTAAATGTCATGGATTTTTGTGTTTTCTTACTTCATCCGAGCAGTCTATGATATTACCCAGTACATTTCATTCATCATGAATGAGAAGAGAGAAACAAATGTGAATAAATCAAATCAATTTTACAAAATTCAAAGACAACAATTGGACTAAGTCTCTGTGTGTGTGTTTATGGGTGCACGTTTGTGTGTGTCAAGCAGAGCAAACACGTTCCTGATGATGGCTCTGTTCGGTCTGGTCTGTTTCAACATTTTTTTGCCCAGCTATTAAGGATCTTGAAAACCGAACTGTATATGAGGCCCTGAATAATCTATTGCATACTACCAATGCATCATTAATTTTATATGAAACAAGTCATCAAATATTTGTTACAAAGCATATGTTTATTTACAAAATTCTCAAAACCCACTCTAAATAAATTATCAGCAAGCCATATGGATTGAGTTACTTTTCACATCTTCTTTAGCTTCATATAAAATATAAATACTCTTAAAATGTATAGAAAGAATAAAGTATTCTTAAAAGCTGTTCTAAAATTAATTAATAAAGAGATTTGTGTTAATGATTTTGATATTTTGGTTTGATGTATTTTATTCTACTAAATGATTGGCAGAAATACAGAATGGACTTAGGTCATATTTTGATCAATAGTAAAATGTTTTATGTTTATTTTAAATTTAGCTTGTTTCTCCAATAGCATTATGCAGCATATTTAAGTTATCATTCTAGATATGCACAAGAAAGTATTCATAAATTTTCACACTAGATTTTTAATATATCAGGAAAATTTGATATTTTATTTGTATGTTTCTACTGTTTTTATCTAACATTTAATTTTAATTTGTTGTGATTCCAAATATCTTTTAATTTTTACTTGGATGTGTGCTTCTTAAATAATACTACAGAAAAGAAGCTTGAAGTATAATCTTTAATATGATTTCATGCCTAAGAATCATAATTCAACTTAAAAAAAAATGTTAGGGTAGTTGAATTCTTTTCAATTGAAAATACCCTTTAAGATTGGGTTTTAAATACCTTGTTCTTTATTTAAATTAAATAAAAAGTATCTTTGATATATTCCAATGGAGAATGCAACAACGTTGTGTCATGGGCTAGGAATAAATTTATTGCTAGTCCTTTACACTAGAGTATTAGCTTCATGAATTTGTTTTTGTTATTTACTGATGAATCTCTAGTACCTAGAATAGTGTCTGGCTTCCTGCACATGCCCAATATTTATAGTTTTTGGAATAAATATACAAGTATAATTTTATTGAGTCAAAATATTCAAAATGAATTAAATGATCATAAAGAGACCTAACACATATCACAAATAGAATTCTTACACACATACATACAAACATATGTTATACACAAATAATTGATATAAAGTTTAACACTGTACATATTTTTAATTTTACATTTGCTATTGAGTTAGTTCCTTTCTTGGAAATCTGAAAGATGGAACAATTTAAAAAATAGCTTAACTTCAGGATCACTGTGTTTGTTATTGTAAATTCATTGCTAAAGCTCTGTATAGAAATTGCATTTTTGTATTTTCTCAACTGATCCCCAAGTTATATTTTGTGATTCCTAGGCTAACTGACCACCCTTCATAAATGCTGTTGCTATGAAAATTTAGCTAAATTTATTAAGTATGAAACCATTAAAATGGGTTTAAAAATACCACCATGGACAAAGGAAATAAAACAAATCCATAAACAAATCATTTTTAACATAGCTTGAAAACAGTATTCAAGATGTCAAGAGCTCTGATTTTGAAATTCAAAAATTTCAGAAAAACTTTCCAGCTAGTTTGTGATGTATTCACTTTAAAAATCCAGGATTAGAGTAAGAACTCTTCATGCTACTATTCGCATCCCGCAAAAACCACTGAGGAACAGTTTAAGTTGGTTACAAGATTCTTTATTTTGTAAACTATACAGAAACAGTAAAAAAGAAAATGCATTATACTTTCAATATTACATAAAGTTACCATTAAAGTTTTTATTTAGTATGTATAAATTAAATGGAAAGAATCCACCAATTTTGTTTTAATGATTTGTATACTGGGAAAGCAGTTGATCAACTGTTGAAATTAAAGATACGAATTGTAACATTTAATAGGTTTTCTTATTTTAGTTATGGGCACAAAACCATTGGTCCAATATACTTAAAAGTGAAGGTGTGCCAAAACGTGTACACAATTGATTAACATGCTAACTTAAATTCAAAGATTAAAGTAATTTTTCTACAGTTAAATCTTAAATGCTACTCTACACAATAATCATAAACAAGTCCACATGGCAATTATGTAACAATAGAAAACAAGAAATAAACATATTCCATTTTCTTCATTCCAGCAGCAGTACCTTTACTGGTTAATTTGTTAGTTAGGTGTGCTTATATATTGCCTAATATCCTATTTGGTATGCATGCTAAAACCTTTCTATTTCTATTTTTGCAAGGCACCATACAATACGTTCTCTAAGAAAAATGGCGTAATTCTAAGATTAAATGCAAATTTATATCTAGTGTAGGAAATAAAATGAGAATTAAGATTTTTAAATTTGACTTTGGGACAAATTACAAATATTTTGTGAAAACATAATTTAAGTAAATTTTTCCCTTTGTCTTCATTATTTAAATTCTGTACCCTAAATTGCTGGTTAGAAAGATAAAGAAATCTAGAAAGGCAAAGAAATCATGCTGTTAAAGAATATTTTTTAAATGTTCATGACTCTGCCATCCAACTTAAAATAAAAGTTAGAAAGGTCAACTCAGTTTTTAACTTTCAGAATCCATGGTTTTCCATACTCGCCATTTTGTAAAATATCCTATCATATCCAGAATAACTTCATAAATAGAAACATCACTGTTAACGTAAACACTATGGAGGATTCTTCAATCGTCAGTTTGTTTTTCTTACCAGGTGTTATCTCTCTCACTTACCCTGACTTGCTATAGGTATGGGAAGATGCTACTTTGGAACTGTAGTTGAGGTCATGCATAATTTGATAAAATTCATGGGACCCAGGTGACTATAAGTGATTGTAAATTTAACGTAGAATATCGCACAAAAAAATAACACATACGATCACAAGCACAGGTTGTTGTTTTGTTTGTGGGAGATTTACAAAGTTTGTTCTTTTGAAAAATTTATTGTAGTAGCTCTTCATAGCTTTCTTTTGTCTGGCTAGACTCCACATGTGTTTTCTTTTTCTGTAAGGCATATAAAAACTCAAAGTAAGTGATTCTTATTTAAACATAAAATTTTATGATGTTAGTTGAAATAGTTGAAGCAATTATACAAAATATATGTGAAGTTTAGGATCATTGGTTTTGGGGCAAGAAGGTAATTCTCAATAGACTATCACTTTGTAAATATTAGAAATGTAGAATGTATTGATCTCAGCTGTCATCAATCAAATGTATCCATCATGGTCATCGCCACCATCATCATCATCCCCTTCATCTTCATCATCATCTTCAATTTCATCTTCATCATTCATAATATCATCTTCATCTTCCTCATCATCAGCCCATTCGTGGAAATCTCCACTTGCAAAATCTCCAGAGATTTCAAAGTCAATAGCTTAAAAAAAGGAAACATTACCTTTATTTTCTGAGTAGTGGGATAATTTCTGAGAGATATAAAATTCTGATAAAAATTAAGGAAATTTAAAAAACAATTTAATTAGTTCTTCAGCTTATTTAACAAAGATAAGGAAAGATCCATCCTCTGGAAAACTATCACATGTTAAAACTTTATCATTTGTTAAAATTTATGGGCAAAAAGCAGAATTATTATTGAATGTGCTATATAAGGTTTCCAGATCAGCTATATTGATCTCAGCCCAATTTTTATAGTAGTTAATGTCAAACTTTGAATCTTATCAAGTATGTATTTAAAATTTCTTCTGCAAGTATGTTAGGCAAAATAATACCCCCCCCCAGAGATTTTAATTTCCTAATCCCTGGAAACTGTAAATGGTTACATTGCACACAAAAAAAGACTTTTCATACGTAACTAAATTAAGGAGGGGAAGATTATCTTGGATTATTCAGGGTTCAAAATTGTCATTTGGATTGTTAAAATCAAAGAATCTTTCCAGATAGAGTCACGGGGAGATCTGACTACAAAAGAATGGTCAGAGAGATGCACTGTTGTTTTGAAGTTGGAGGAAAGGTCCAGGAACCAAAGAATGTGAGTGGTGTATAGAAAGTGGAAAAGGCATGGAAACAGATTTTCCTCTAAACCCTAAAGAAAGGATCAGAGCCCTGCTGCCATCTGGATGTTTATCTTAGTGAGACCTCTGTTGGACTTCTGACATACAGAATAGTAAGATGATAAATTCTCATTTTTTAAGCCACTAAATTAGTGGGGATTTGCTACTACAGAAACGGAAAACTGATACAGCTAGTCAATATGTTAAAAACTATTTTCAAAGCTAGCTATTGATATTTATGGGAGCAATAATGCACATATATTTTCACATGTGGTTACTTTTCAACTCCTCAAATGCTAGTGTGTGTACATTTTCTGCTTTCAAATATTTTAGTCTTATGATTATTTGGTAGCTAATTATAACAAATCATATTAATTGCATTCAATATTTATAAATTGGTTGATCTCACAATACAACACAATGACATCCCCCTCTTAGGTGAAGAAAATATTTTCTATTCTCCAATGTCATATATTTTCATAATTGCAACGTGCTTAAATAATTGCAACCAAAAATCTTGGAAGCCCAAAACAATTTTCTCATTCACTTATTAAACATATCTCCATATGACAAAACAATTTTCTTATTCACTTGTTAAATATATCTCCATATAATTTATCATTTGCACTATAAAAAAAAAATTCTTTAGCCATTACTGGCATCATTGCTAACTGAAGTAATTACTAATTGTCTTTTCTCAACTGATCCCCAAGTTATATTTTGTGTAGTTCAATTACTTTGAACTACATATTACAAAGATGTGATCTCTACTTGTTAAAATTTTGTAGGTGGCTACTGAGTACTACTTCTTCCTACTCAAATTTAATCAGATTGGCCAGGTCAGAACACCAAAGCAAAGCTACTAAAAATGTTATGGAATAAATAACTGTATAACAGGAATTTAAGAATTAAATGAAATTACTTTTTAGTGTTTACCAATTACCCTAAATAATCTTAGTCTTTCAGTCTAAAAATTGCATTAAGGAAATACCTAAACATTTTATAAAATGCAAGACTAAGTACTTTATTTTCATTTTAGATATCTTGTATTATTGGAAACACATTTATTAATTTCAGGCACACGTGTGTTTCTGTGTGTGTGTGTGTGTGTGTGTGTGTGTGTGTGTGTGTGTGTGTGTGTGTGTGTGTGTGTGTGTGTGTGTGTGTGTGTGTGTGTGTGTGTGTGTGTGTGTGTGTGTGTGTGTGTGAGTGTGTGTTTCTGTACAAGTGGCTTTTGTAGGGAAAACTCTCTGTAGTACAAACAAAAATACTGATTTGAAACTTGCATTCTGGAAAAATGTTTTATGAAGCACAAAAGATACCACATTTGAGACTTTAAAATGCACGTATGTGAAGCTCAACCTATTTGTTATACGATTTTTAGGTATATACATAAAAATGCATGTTCATAAAAAACAATTAGAATATTAACTATAATTCCCTTAAAGAATATAACTACACGTTTCTCACCCAAACAAAAGAAAGCATGCTCATGTAGCTTCAATTTATGGATGTTTACTTTTAAAATGTTTGCTTTTCTTTTGGTCGGTAAACCTACACATTCCCTAAGTCACCTTCTCCAGATGTATACAGGTGAAATGGTACCATCTTGGGACATGGCACACACTAGGCTTTGCTGACTTGGAGTAGAATTAATATAAAAGGTCTGCCTTACCTGAGAGGAAAAGAGGAAATATCTAAGAGTTTTCTGAATTTGATGTAAGAAAGGGAACCCAGCTCTTAACTGTTTTCCTAAAATATCTAAATCATGCAATTCTATTTATTACCTACGCAAGTTTTTATATGCTAGGAGCAAGTCTTTTCTCACTTCCTCCTCCCCTATATTCTATAGTCTTTGCATAGGGTAGGTCCTCATTAAATTCTTGAACAAATGAATGAGGATCTGAAGTACTTAGTCCTGTACTTGAGAAATTATTAAAGAAAGAATCCTTCTCCTTACCACAATCCGCAACACCATTTGTTCTGGATCCCATGACTTCATTTCCATATCTGTCAACACACCAGCATTGCCCAACATTGCCATGGCATTGTGTTGGCTTGTAGTAACCATCTTCATCACACAGGGGGATGTAGTCTCCTGTGAAAAATGCACACAGACACACACAGAAACACACAAGCATACACATATATTTTGTGAATAAATTGTGCTCCTTTTTGATAGGCACCTATTATGCATTAATGTACTCAAGACATACATATGTGGAGTGCCCTCTATATTCCATGCTAGGTACTCATGTCATGGAGCTGGCCATTGCCATTATGTTTGAAGGTGAATAAAACCAACACAATTTTGTGCCCCACCCACCATACTGACTCCTGCTTAATCTCATTCCTTTGTTCCACTGACCAGTTGCACCTTAATCTTAGGGCAAATGTAAAGGGAACACAGGATTCAGGGAGTGAATGATTTATTACAGCAGATAGAGTTAGTGGTCTGAGGGTGAACATCACTAGCCCCCCCCCTCATGAATTACAAGACACCTAGTGGATGATGTTGTCAACTTATTTTTCTTAAGATTTCTCCTCGAAGTTACTTCTGGTAACAGAGGCTTTGCTATATAAATATTGTTTAACCTCGGAGAATCAGATCTCTCATCTGCTGACGTCTGATTCTTCACTGCACTCAGCTTCCTTGTATGTAAGTCAAAGTCAACCCACTTAATTAATATCTCTGATTACCAAATGGACCTGCCTGCTTCCTTTTTCGGTCTCAAAGTACCTTCTAAATTTGGAGGGTATCATACTTTTACATGCTTTTCACACAATTTCATGGAATGATTTTCTTTGTTAAGTATATTACTATCTTACTATTTCTCACTCTATAAGGGGAATGTTTCCAGAGGTATAATACAGAATTAAAATCTGATTAGTGCCACGCTCATATAAATCATCCAGACTACCTAACATGGCATACAAGACCCTTTATTGTCTCATCACTGCCAACTTTCTAGTTTCATTCCCTCAAATTTTTATTCATATATTCCAAGTTGTTTCCATATCAAGCTATTTCCGCCAAATTCAATGCTGCTTCATCTCTTTACACATATTTATTTCAACTGTGACCCCTCTCCTTCTCTCCCTATTTCATTTTAAGACTTGACTTAAATGTTACCCCCAATATGAAGCTTTCTTTTAAGCCAAGGGATTTCTGATATACTTCTATTGTGTGTATGTGTGTGTGTGTTGTCATTGTGCTTTCACCACTACAGTGTGATATCCTCCATATTTAAAAGTATTTGGGTTTTCTTGGCTTTCACTGATCAATAAACAACTTCTCTTAAACCCACAGTCTATAGGCATTTATTTTCATATCCATAATATCTAACGTAGTAAATGGCACGTTGCTAATGATAAATGTACGCTTTCACCACTACAGTGTGATATCCTCCATTTTTAAAAGTATTTGGGTTTTCTTGGCTTTCACTGATCAATAAACAACTTCTCTTAAACCCACAGTCTATAGGTATTTATTTTCATATCCATAATATCTAACGTAGTAAATGGCACGTTGCTAATGATAAATGTACAGTTAGAAATTTAGAAGTGAAGTCACACTCTTCAATAAACACTAGAATGTAAACTCCAGGAGATTAGAAAATGCGCTTCTCTTTCCTGATCATTTTTTTTCTGTGAACAGAAACGTTATAGTCATGTGGTGAAAGAAAAAAAAATGACTGAATAAATGGTTAAAAGGTGAAACATATTAAGTCTGGCAACCATATGGGATCATAATTTTACTATTTCAAAGAGTTTGATAATTATGATAAATAGGTGAACAGTTCGGTTTAGAAATGATAATTCATTGGAAAGATCTGAACTGCTAGTCTTGCAGTGAGGTAGACAGAATATCACCAGGATGGAAGACTTGGGATCACCTTCTGTGGATTTAGGGTCAGCAAAAATAAGAAAACAAAATTAACTTTCTTGTCTCTAAATCTTTAAGAAAAATCATTATTTGACATATTTGACATAAAAATGTTATGATGTATGGTTGGTGTCACAACATAATTTATGCCAGTACAATCTGAAAGTTAGATAGGATACTATTAAGAGTTATGCTTGAACTTCAGATACCAACCAAGACTAAACCTACAAATTGGAATATGTGGCACCCTACTCCTATGTAACAACTGATCAATTTTCAGATAAATACCATTATCCCACCCAAATTAAAGAAGAAATAATTAAAACATTCAGTACTCTCTAATAATGACTTTCATTTACATTATATAATAAAAATACAAGTAACTCCTCCCACATGGGCACTAAATAAGTTTTTGGATTTTGTAGCTTTAAATAATCACAGGCTTCATTTAAATATTTTGTTACTAATAGACCTTAATCAAGTACAAAATATTTTTCAGTTGAATTTGAATGGGTTTTCCCATTGTACATGACTAATCTTTGATTTATGGAGAAAAACCTGTGGAATAATGTACTATTTCCCCTTGTGAGCTGTAATATCTTATGCACCTTGTATCAGAATTAAGAGAAACATGACACATTGTGGCTTTGATCATCAGTCATATTTTACACCTAAAAATGTTTTATTATCAACCATTAAACTTTTTATTATATACAATGGGTATTGAGCCAAGGATTTTAAGCAATATGAAGCATCTTTTCATTTAACATCCTATACTGTAATTACAAAGAGGGCATATCAAAATATAATACAGATTAATCAGATCCAGAGACATTATAAAATTATATACCACTCAATACACAAGTGCATAAGCATACATGAAAAAAAAAATCGCACGTGTGGTGTCCTGCTAGGGATCTTAAAATAGAAAAAGATCACCAGTGGAAAAACTGGTGAAATCCAAATGAAGTCTGAAGCTTAGATAATAGGATTATAGCAATGTTAATTTCTTAGAGTTTACAAATGTGCCATTGTTATTTTGTACATGTAAATTTTTATCTTTAGGGGAAGCTGAGTGAAAGATGTATGAAAACTGTATATTATCTTTGCAATATTTTATGACTTTAACATTCTTCTAAAAAGTTTATTCAAAAAGTATACATTTACAAGAATAAAGAATAAACAACAATCATATGTAATAGTTTAATAATCTGTTGAAAATCAAACCTTCAAATATTTCAAGGCTTTGGGTAAAATTTTAAATTATCTATCTATTATCTACTTCTGTATTTTATTTATCAACTCTTACATTTACTTACTAAAAGTAAAGTAGTAAAAAGTACTTATGAAAAACTCTAAGAAATCTATTTAAATTCCCCTGAGATACTCAGAGCATTTTTTCACCCCACTTATACAAGTACTTGCTTTAAATATTTTAAATATATATACACACACACGTCATATATATATGGCCATCAGTTCTTAAATTGTTAACCACAGAATTAGAATTGAAGTTTCTGCTGATGTTTTAACTTTACCATTGTTTAAATCTCTTTTTTTTACTTAATAACTTTCAAAACGAACATTATATTAGGGTAATAAAACAGACATAATATCTTTCAATAGGTAAGGTAATAAAAGTAAGTTTAACGGCTTTCAAAAAGTTCATAAATTTTGTTGCTGAAATTTAGTTCAGTCTATCTTTGTTGGATTAATATTGATTTTATGTTGCTGTTTCCCTGGGGTTATTTATGTAAGCAATGAAGCCTTCAGAAGAATGATCTATTGCTCACCTAGGAGCTTCTTTACCCGTTGCCGCTTCTGAATATTGCTGAGCTCCGTCTGGCAGGGTGGGTCTGTAATGACATGAAAAATGTTACTTCAAGGATTATAGTTAAACAGAGAAAGTGTAATGTCAACGTTATCAAACTTTAGTTAGTCTTTACAAGCCTTTAGAAGACATATATTATGTATTAGTTTGTCTATTTATGAAGATACATTCACATACATTCAAATATGTATATATATACACACGTGTATATACATATGAATATAGATTCACATAGTTTCAGATAAGTATATATATACATAAACACATACACATTATATACAGAGAGAGAGAGAGGGCTGCTTTCCTAATTTTTATTAATAGTAGGTCATCTTAGTTTTCATCAGAATGACTGAATTGGGTGAAAAAAAGAAATAATATAAAATACTTCTATGATGGAAAATACTTATTATTTACTTTTAAAGGGTCAATCTACTCAGCAGTTTAAATCCAACTAATTAACTGCTGCTCAATTAACTGTTTCCTCCTCATTTAAAATAGTTTCTATGATATACGGAATCGGCTTTTCATACAAAAATTACATATGAAAAAGTTGATGCTTCTTTCAAGTTATGTCCGACACCTTATTATAAATTTTAATATTGTATAAGTTTAACAGGGCTTAGTATTTTTAGCTTCACCCATATGCTTCAAGTATATATGCAATTTCCAAACAGGACATGACATATAAAAATTTCTGATAAACCATTATTTTAAAAATAAACTTAAAACATTTAAACCAATTTGAAAAAAAGTATTTGCCTATTTTTCAAACTTAACCACTTAAAAGAGGACATTTGTACAGAAGTGTAAAATTCTAAGTAATAAAAATATAGTTTGCCTTATATTACTACAGTTATATACTCATATATATATAATTATATATATATTCTTATCTGAAAGTATGTTAATGCATTTTATATTCATATTCTAAAAACTTGCTGTTAATGCTTGCTATATAAATCTGTATCATATACAATTAAAACAGCAAAATAATAAACTATTTCCTACTGTCCTACACTGCACCTTATTAAGAAAAAGGCAAGGTATAATTAAACAATTTTGAAATAGTTTGGTATACTGGCTTCAAAATATTCAATTATTTAATTCCACGTAAGTAACAAAGTGGAATGAAGGAATGAGATCAGGTGCTTAAAATCTGTTTTATAGTTTAATATGTGAGACCAAACAATGTTTCATCTTATAGAATCTAAAATGTGAAGAAAAACTAATTTGTTTGAAAATCCTGAATAATTACCTTATTGTTTCATTTCATTTAGAAATTGACCCAATTGGCCCCTTTGGTTTTCCTAATAATCTCATGAGTTTCATACTAAGGATTAAAGAAATGGGAATCATGTTGAATAGTATGGGCTAATAGTATGAGATATTTTAAATTTTACCACCCTCTGAATATGACATCTTAAAATCAAGAAGAATGCTTCTACCTGAAGTTTCAATAATATATTGAAAGCAGTTCTTTTAGTTGCTATGGGCTTGGTAATTTAAAGAAGTACTATTTCTTATATGTTTGCTACCTGAATCTCCAGGTACATTTGAGTCTGACTTTTGATTAGTAGCCTCACTGGATAAGCCTTCTAGTCCTACCAGTTCTGTGTAAGGGAACATTTTAGGATTTCAAGAGAAATCATGACCAATTGGGCTGTTCAACTCTATATAATATTTGATTTTAAACTATTTTCTTCTTGTTATTTATAAGTCGGCTCTGTAAGTCTGGCTTTTAACTAGGCATTCTTACAGCACTTAATTGAGATTTCATCTATCATTTAAACTCATTTATAGAGAACTTACCTAGATGAAAGAATAGTAACCCAACTAATTGCATGAAGGTTTGGATACTATTGGACTATGAATATTCAGCTTAAGTTATAGGTACAGATTTATTTTCCTTAATCTGCTTACTACCAAATAGTAGTCTTTAAGCATATGTAAAATTATGAATTTATATGCTTAAAAACTGAATGAGAATCAAACCTAATAAAATACAAGATTTAGTTTAATTATTAGAATAGACAATTATTCTAAACTAATAACAAGAAAAAAGAAGAAACAATTTACAGGTTAAATTTCAAGATGGTGTTTCTGAAAATAACAATGTTCATTGTTCTGTATTCCAGATTTGAAAACTCAAACCCCTGCGTTAGGGCCATTCACACATTATCTATATTAGAAATTGATCGTTTGTAGTACAATGATAGCAATGCATTTTTATTTACCCTCATAATTTAGAACTGAATTAAATATCATTGGGAAAAATAAATAAAAGAATATCTGTTTATAATGGTTACTAAAATACAAAAGCCTTTTTCTATACTTGCAACTAGTCATTGCTAAACGATGTATATTTATTCGCTGTCGAATGTATTGGACAATTGAGAGTCAAAAGTGAAATGAAAGTGGACATTACAGAGGTTTGTGAATAGATCTCTAAGTTGGGAGCAAATGGCTCCATCGGCTGTGTTCTGCAGAGTTGCAAAGGGGCACCAGCCTTCTACACTGCGACATGAATGGTGCCCTGGGGTTTACAGGGAGGCAGCCCTCTAACTTCTTTCCAAATAAGCCACCGTCCTTATTTACCTTTCTTCTCAATATTTCATTAGTCATACAGCTTCTCACAGAGTGGAATATGCTTGAAAAACTTTATTAGGTTTATTTTACCCATAAGCATTTCAAGTAACACATTCTCCATACTTAATGTCTTTCACTTAAGAGGAAAAACATTTCTTTTAAAATTAATGAATTCATTCCACATGACCCACGTTTTTATATCTCTTCCTACAAATTAAATGTATAAATAACCTCTAAAAATGTCATTCATTTTCATTGCATCCCTGAGAAAAAATATTGGGTAAATTGCTGATGGATGTAAGACTTGCTGATGTTAGCTGTAGTGATTAGGACTTTCTGAGTTCTACAGTGATGTTTCTGCAGCATTTCATATAGAATTACCCTAACAATTCTGAAAATAGAATTAAAACTACGTGGAGACAGAAATCAAGGACTTTCACTTCAAATCCCAATTTCTTCATAAACTCATTCCGTAATGCAGAGTTAAGATCAAAACGCTTCAGCCCTTACCCCAAAAATAGGAATAACAATAATTTTACAGGGCCACTTGAGTTATAAATGATTTATATACTGTATATGAAAGACTAAATGAAGCTGAACAAATGTGGGTTTTCTTTCTCTTTCCTTGATCTTACACAACAGAATTTTAAGTAAACTAATGAGTAATAATTGATTTATGTCTTAGGGTGGAGATTTAGACGGGCATACCTTACAGGTATTGCATGTTGGGTTACGAACCTCCACAATAAAGCAAATATCGTATGGATTTTTTGGTTTCCCTTTTTATACATATAAAAGGTATATTTACAATACACTATAGTCTAAGTGTGCAATATCATTGTCTAAAAAAATGTACATACCTTAATTAAAAACAGTTTATTGCTGAAAAGTGCCAATAATTATCTGAACCTTCAGCTAGCTGTAATCTTTTTACTGGTGGAGGTTCTTGCCTCAATGTTGATAGCTGCTGACTAATCAGGGTGGCAGCTGCTGATGGCTGAGGAGGCTGTAGCAATTTCTCCAAATCAAATTTCTTGAACAATTAAGTTGGCTGTATCGACTGACTCTTCCTTTCACAGAAGATTTCTCTGTAGCATGTGAAGCTGTTTGATAGCATTTTACCCACAGTAGAACTTCTTTTAAAATTGGAATTTAAAAAAAAATATGGAGTCAAACCCTGTCACTGTTTATCAACTAAGTTTATGTGATTTTCTAAATCCTTTGTTGTCATTTCAACAACTTTCAGAGCATCTTCACCAGGAGTAGATTCCATATCAAGAAATTACATTATTTGCTCAGTCATAAGGAGCGACTCCTCATCAATTAGAGTTTTATCATGATATTGCAGCAAATCGGTCACATCTTCAGGCTCCACCTCTGATTCTAGTTCTCTGGCTATTTTCACAACATCTACAGTTACTCCCTCCACTGACATCTTGAACCCCTCAGAGTCATTCATGAGGGTTGAAATCATGTTTTTCCAAACTTCTGTTAATGTTGATATTTTGACCTCCTCCCATGAATCAAGAATTTTCTTAATGGCATCTAGAAGAGTGTGTCCTTTCCAGAAGACATTCAATTTAGTTTTCCCAGATCCATCAGAGGAATCACTACCTATGGCAGCTATAGCCTTACAAAATGTATTTTTTAATCAAGAAGAATTGAAAGTTGAAATTACGCTTGATTAATGGGCTGCAGAATGAATGTTGTGTTAACAGGCATAAAAACAACGTTAGTCTCCTTGCACATCTCCAACAGAATTCTTGAGTGACTGTGTGCATTGTCAATGCACAGTAATATTTTAAAGGAAATCTTTTTTTTTTTCTGAGAAGTAGGTCTCAACAGTTGGCTTACTATAGTCAATAAACTGTGCTATGAACGTATGTACAGTCATCCGGACTTTGCTTCTCAATCTATAGAGCACAGGCAAAATACATTTAGCATAATTCTTGAGGGCCCTGAGGTTTTTAAAATAGTAAATGAACAATGGCTTCCATTTAAAGTCACCAACTGCATTAATTCCTCACAAAAGAGTCAAGCTGTTCTTTGAGGCTTTGAAGCCAGGCGCTGACTTCTCTTCTCTAGCCATGAAAAGTCCTAGATGGCATCTTCTTCCAGTATAAGGCTATTTTGTTTACATTAAAAATCTATTCTTTAGCATATCCACCTTCACCAATTATTTTAGCTGGATCTTCTGGATAACACTTTCTACGTCAGCACTTGCTGCTTCACCTTGCACTTTCACGTAATGAAGACCACTTCCTTCCTTAAACCTCATGAACCAACCTCTGTCTAGTTTCAGACTTTTCTCCTGCAGCTTCCTCAGTTCTCTCCGTCTTCACAGAACTGAAGGCATTGGCCTAAGAGAATGTTCTGGTTTGTTTGATCTTCTACTCAGAGCACTAAAACTTTGTCCATACTAGCAATCAGGTTGTTTTGCTTTGTTATCATCTGTGTGTTCATTGGAGTAGCATGACAGATATAATAATAATGAAAAAGTTTGAAATATTTTGAGAATTACTAAGATGTGACACAGAGACATGAAGTGAGCACATGCTATTGAGAAAACGGCGCTGATAGACTTGCTCAGTGCAAAGTTGCCACAAACCTTCAACAGAGCAGTAAAACACAGTGCAGCAACATGAGGTGTGCCTGTATTTCTGTGCAAGTAAGTTATTAACACAGGGCAACTGAAATTCCAAATTAATATTCTTCTTACTCACTCAGACTTACTTGAATAAAGAATTACACAAATTGCAATCATGTCCATTTTGTATGCTTAATTGTCATGATTTTAGAAAATTAGTTATAGAAACAAATTTGTGTTTTAATTAAGTTAAAGCATTTTCCCCCCTTGAAAAACTACATATATTTCACTTGCTTGAAATTTTACATTCTGAACCTCATTTATTAAACTTTTACAATTAACACTAATTTTATAGTTTTGAAAGATATTTTTTAAAAAATCATTACTTCATTTTCCAAATGTTTTCTAACACTGTATAACCATAGTCTTCATTGTAGTTTTAAGTCAACCTGTATTAAATAACCTCTCATCCTACTCTATTTTCCTTTCTCTCTCTCTCTCTCTCTCTCTCTCTCTCTCTCCATATGTATGTTTGTGTATAAATATGTATATTTATAATTATAACAAACTTAAAAATTTAAAGAAAACATTCTTTTACAAGATGAAACATCTGAAAAAACTGTTTTTAAATTAATGGTTATTCTCTTTCATAGAGTTACTAGCCTTCTTAGTTACCTTGAGAGCTTTTGTACCTTTTTCTAGAATATTAAATTAATAAAAGGTTGGCAAAATTTTAGCAAAACTTTCCTTAGCTTTAGAGAAGTTTATAAACTCCTTTACCAACTTAGGTGCCACTTATTAAATTATTTTTATCATGCCTTAAGTGGTCTCATAGAGTAAATCTTCACATGACTATACAGATTTTCACAATTTGGGAAAACCTTACTTTTTTACATGAAAAGTAGACAAAGAAAAATTTTGCTTCAGGAACCTTTAATCAATTCTACAAATATTGTTGCAAAATATAGAAATGTTCTGAGATGAAAGTATTTATCTATTTCTGTAGTTGAAACATTCAGAGTTATGCAGGATATTTTTTAGATATTCATATATAAACATCAAAAACATGCTATCATAACACACGCAAAAAAATTACAATAACATTTGTCATCATAACAGAAGGCTATGTGACTACACGTCTTTTTATGGCAGTTTACTTGGATTTACCTTCTTTTTATTATTTAAATTATTTAAATATACACGTCATGAATAGTATAATGTAGTTTTTTTTGTTTGTTTTTTTTTTGTCTTTTGTCTTTTTCCGTGTCCGGCAACGGATCGCA